TCATCATCATCATCCTTTGCATTCAATGACATAAAATAACGATACAATGTATCTATTGGTATATCTGTAGTTTTCTTTTTATTTGAAGAATATTTATTTATGGTATTCCAAAATGATTTTGGATTAGATTTAGATAACGAGCGAAGCTCTTTAATACATCTTTCTTGATATTTTTTATAACTTATTCGAAGTTGTTTCCTGTATTCACTACCTTTTTTGTTCATATTTGTTTTAGTAGTGCATGATTTATCTGTTTTGTATCTATTCTTGATCTTGTTGAAGGCAATTCTTTTTAACTTACAATATTAATCATATCTATTCATATTTATATTATTTATTCATATCTACTTTTCCTTTACGTCTTTTTTGTTGTGTTCTACACACTTTAGATGCCGTTTTAATAAGAAATTGGCCAAGGTCATTAACCACCGCGTTGATTTGTTCACAGTTTACATTATCACGATCATTCATGTGGTCTATAGCGGTGCTAATATCGCGGAGTTCAAGATTTACATCTATATTAAGTGCCTGTGTGAATTCATCTTTTTCAGATGTGTCCCATGTTACACGTTTATTATCAAAGTTATCCTCTTTCTTCTGTAATGGGGGTTGGGTATCGCATGTAAAGTTTAACACAAAGTGGATTTGATTGTGAACGTCCGAAAACATCGGGTTAAAATCACATATTTCGAATTCTGAAACAAGTTTAAAAGCTGAACTATCTACTATAAGATAATCTACTACACTTGTATCTTTACATGTCGTTCTTCCTATGTGTTTATCTTTACATATTCGACCATTTCCAATAAAAAGAGATGATCAATTACATACTTCAATTAGCAGATTCCCATATCTATTTTGTCGGGCTTTATCTTGACTATATCTTTGAAGGGGGATATTTTGCTCAATAAGTTGACGTACACAGTTCATATTATCAATATCTTCATTCTTATCTACAACATTTAATATATCTAGTAGTCTTTCATCAGGTTCAATATAGTCCGGTATTATCAGATGAATATTTTGTATATTCTGGAGGAATGTAGATACAGCCAAGTAAAATATTTTCATTCATGCTCGAAATGTGATTCGAAATTTCAAACCATTGTACAAATTCGGACTCGGACCTCGACAAAACTTGATTATAAATTACAATAATACCGCTAGACTTTTTTTACATTTCTGTCTGTGTTTAGCGGAGTATGCATATTCATTAGGCAAATTCATGTCATCGAGTTCATCAGTTTTAGATTCAACACACAGTAATAAATCGTATTTAGATATCAGATTATGGAAATCTGGATTGATAAGTTTGGATTTCAGACCACATACAATGTACATTAAATAAACCAATTTCGAGTTCAATGTTGAAATTTTGTCGTGGTTCATTAAGAAACGTGTCTGAGTGTCTGTCCTACAGGGGTCCGTTGTGTGGCAGGGACTGGTGCCCCTGTCTTGGGGGATATGCTGGGTCTTGGGGAGGATGCTGTCCAGAATACACTGAAGGACCTGAGTATACGCCGGCCGAGCCACGCCCGGGGCCCTGGGGGACCGCGAGCTCGCACCCGGGTGCTCGTGGAGCCGTACGAGATGTATCACTCCCGCGTTCCGACGGAGGACCGCGCTCATGTCCACGTTCTGGTTGGGGGCATTGACTACGTTCCTGGGGACCAGCTCCTCTGTTCCAGCTGGGGAGACCCACGTTCGCGTTCCATGGAACGGTGTCGCGTTGATATTGCTGGGGGTCAACGTACGGACGGCCGTCCACGTAGAGGGTGTCGTATGCAATTTTGACGTTCACATGACGACGTTTGAGTTCCTTCATTTTCGAATACAGAGCGTAGCGTCTATCACTTATTTCGGGTTGGTATTGTTGGGATATTGAGAACTCCGGTTTATTCCGTACTTTTGACGGACATAACTTTAGGACGCGGTCTAGGTCCTCGTATCTAGCAAACTTTCCAATAATGCTTCGTGGTTTCTGCTCCCGTCGTGCCCGCAGTCGGTGAACATTTTGAAACTTAATGTTTTCAGGCTCGGACATCTCCATCACCTCAAATAGGTTTTTTTTTAACACTTGTTCGGTTTTCTCCTCATGTACAGGCCCAGCAGTTTTAATCACGGTAAAAATCGTATTATATTTCATAGAATGTGTTTGCAATTTAAGGAATCTTTCATGTAGATCGTGATTCTCCCTCGTCGACTCTAAATTTCTCCGTTCGAGACTTTGGAGTCTCTGTCCAATATTGAAGTGATGTTCTTCCTGTTTGTTAATAATGTCGGAATGTTTCTGAGTCGTGTGCTGTATATTGGTAATCTCTTGTTTTAGATTTTCGTTTAGTTGTTGAAACACTTCAAATTTAGTTTTTATCTCGTCAAGCATGTCGAGTTTTTGTAATTTACATGTAAGTACATTGTCAACTTGTTCAACTCTGCTATTCAAAATTTGAATGTTGGCCATGAGCATCTGCATGGTGATATGGCTGGTGGCCCAGAAAGGCGCCGGTGGAGTGGACGGATGTGAGGGTGGGGGTGGGAGTGGTGAAGTCGATTACCCGGATATGCTGATCCCGTATGGTGAGGACGGCTGATGTACGTGCGCACCGAGTTGACTGGTGGGCGTACTGCTACATGTATGTACAGGTAAAGCACAATAGGCCAATTCTGATACATGTTATTAGAAATGTTCGATATATCCCCGAATTGTTGCCCGAATATAGATCCATGTGCCTCTGCCAGTATTTCTGATGTTTGTAGAACACTATGTGGCAATGCGTCGGTCGTATAGGTACCTACAACACAGGTTTTAGAGGGAGGGGTCAGCCCGGTGTCCGAATTTCTACCTTTACGTTTTCTACCCATATATATGTTTTACATAGAGTTCATATCGGGTCCACTGCGTTACAGGTACCACAGAAATACACATTTGCTTAAATGTGTGACAAATTATGATTAAAATAGTTTAGAAGTCATCAAAATGTTCATATTCACCGGAGCGTCGTCAGAAAGCAGCTCCCTGTCCGTCCAGTCATGCGCAGGTCAACGTGATCTGATTATGTTGGCCCTGTATTTCTATATAGTGGGCTAAGTCACGAATTAACTATTTATCGTTTGTTGATTTGATATTTAAAAGGGTATTTGTCTGTACGCCTGTAAATTTTGTTATAAATCTCTCATAACTTTCTAATCAATAAATGATACCATTTCAGATATGAAGGGGATGTAGCTCAGTGGTAGAACGTTCGCTTTGCATGTGAAAATTTAAAAAAACAATAAAGAATTTCTGTTTCACTGGCGGCTTGTCTAAAGATGTTTGTAATATGACCTAGGTCTAATGTATGCACACGTGTTAATAAAAGTACAGTATCAATATAGAGAAGTCCCCTACCGCTGAGGGGAAGACAAAAATCTGTTATAATAAGAAGCGCCTCGTAGAAAGGGGCAAATGAAAAATAAACGGACGCTTCAAACTATTGTTAATCGCGCATCATGGTTATCAGGATTAGCTTTTAACCCGGTAAATTCAATTTCTAACTTTAAAAAGAACATGGACAAACGTGCAAACATCAACATGGACGCCTCAGAAGAAATCGAGTGAAGACAGTAGTCCGAATTATTCTGGCGTTTTATATCGGTCTGTCGTCGATTAACGTCAGAACTCCGGCCCTCTATAACATGCGGGAAATAATCGACCCGCGCCTGGGCGCTCTTCAAACTGATATTTTAGAAACAAATCGTCACTTTCACACACATGTTAAAGCTTAGACCCCGAGTAGCATTGAGTTGCGTATTACTCGTTCCCGTTAGGTTCTACAGTTGACTTTTGTGTAATAGGGAAACGTTTAAGGAGTCTTCTGCTAATAAAGGAGGATTTGACGGCCTTCCATTGAGTGTTCTTGTGGTAGTTTAAGAGTTGTGATAAGAGTAGTGTATTAAGCAGAGAGACCCGATGCCAACCAAATTTAACCTGGGTTGACAGAGGGACTTGGAAAGTGGCGGAGTCCAGCCCTGTTACCCACGCACGCACAAAAACTGAACTCAACTTTTGTGTTAATTCCCGTTAAACTTTTGTTATTTCGTCACCAATAGTTCATAAACGTTACATGAACTAAATATATAGTATCTATTCGATCTCAAAATCGATAATACTCCGGAAAAGTATGAACGAGAGGAAGACTTTCAGAGACTTTCATCCTTTCTAAATATTCCACTGTCGGGGGATGACATTTTGCACTTACATGTATTTGATATAAACCCCTAAAATGCCTTATAATACTTCCTTTACATCATAATTAATATACCTACTGTGAAAAGTTATCAGGCCCCTGTGACCGGGCTAACTTGGGGTATATATATGCACAGGCCCCAGTGACCAGAATAATTAGAGGTACTCTTTATCATGACAAAGAACATGTAAAACTAGCAATTGTGACTTAAATAGCACAGTGTTATGGTGACACTTTTAATTATGTTTCGATGGTTAAAGGGACACAACTCAAGTACAAATCACATCATGCACTGTTGGTTACGTACACTATCAAAATCTGTCGTTTTGGCCTAACGCCAGGAATCTGGGACATTATACTGTCTGCCAGTCAAGTCACATGGTATACCCGTAACAAGGAAGTGTACAGTTAAAGTAGAACCGACACAGTAACAAAATCGTGGCAGTTCACAATTTGTACGCAAAGTATTCCATCTAACTCACTCAAGTAACAACACCATGGCAAGTAACAGATCCGTGCAGCGTGCCCAGGAACCCGTTACCTTCACGTGTGCTTTGTGTGACAGTGGGGACGAGGTACGATGGTATTGTAACGATTGTCAGGATAATTTATGTGACCGGTGTAAGGAAGCCCATACACGCGGAAAGAAAACTAAAAACGATGACGTCGTATCGATACGGAAGGCTAACCGTCAGGGCGACAAGCCTGTACCAGAGGTATGTAAACTACATCCCGATAAACTGTGTGATCTCTTCTGTTCCGACTGCAACGAATTGCTTTGTTCAATATGTACATCTAAAACTCACAAACACCACAACTGGAAACCTTTCGAAGACGAATTTTCTTCTAAAAGGCAACATTTGAAAGAGCATATGACAGCAATTTCTGCTAAAATAGAACATTTTAAGAACGAAACATCAGAGCGACATTATGATAACAAAGGGTTCAATGACAACATTGATACAATTAGGAAAGAGGTGAACTCTAAAAGGACAAAGTTAAAGGCAGAAGTAGATTCTATCGCTGATGCAATACTCGCTGAATTATCGGCTTTAGAAAAAGAAGAATCAGCTATGTACAAGAAAGATTGTCAACGATCAGGGAAAAAAGTCGAAGAACTGACGCGTCTGCTTAACGAAGCGGAAATGACAGATACATCAAGGGTATCCTTGTTTGAAACAGAAAGGTCATTGAGGACAACTCTGCCCCTGTATGACGTTAATGTGAGGTATGTTTCACAAAAAAAAACAAGGTTTGTTACCGGAAGTATCGACCGTGTCATGTTGACGAACACGTTTGGTAAGGTACACCACGAGAACCAGTACAAGAAGATAGACATCGACAGTACATACGTTCAACGTCTCTCTGAGTTTACTGTTACTCAACAGAATCAAATATTCGATATATGTCCAGTCGACGACAGTCACGCGTGGTAATCAATACACCAATACAAGGGTCTGGTACTGGTCAACAAGGAGGGTGTGGTCACAGAGACAGTAAAACTGAACTTCTGTCCGTTCAGAATCACCATGTTCGGGACAACAGACATACTTATGACCAGTTCTCCACCTAGTACATTTGTATATGAACTATCACTACACAACAAACAAGTGACAACATTTGCTGACATCAGACCACGTACAGCACGGGACGTCAGTATCAACGAGAGGGGCGAGGTGTTTGTTACTACAGGTACACCAGACATATTGGTACTGAATCAGTCAGGTACGATTATAAGGAAGGTCACGATTGGATCGGAATTAATAAAGTACACTGTCTGCTTGTCATCGGGACGTCTGGGTGTAGTTCAAACAATTGGAGGAAAGTCGGCTGATAAGAATATAAAGATAACAGACGAGTCCGGTACCGTCATACAGACATGGACTGGTGAACTCGACAACGGTCAAAAGGTCGGTAGTATGTGCCTCTGTAAGATGTCATGTGATAAGTACGATAGAGTTTTTGTACCAGACTTCAGTAACAATCAGGTGTACGTCCTACCGAGAGACGGTAAACAGGCTGTGTGTCTCCTGGACCGGCCACACGGAGTGGTGAAACCTGCAGTGGTGGGTGTGGATACGTGTGGTAACGTGTGGATCGGGTGTGAGGACGGCACCGTACACGTGATGGGACTGTAACATAGAGAAATAGTGATATACGGTACACGTGTGCTCGTGGTACAATAAAACATTGTGTGAATAACATTCCATGGCAGTTCACCGATGTATAAAGTCTGAAGTATCCTCAAATATCGATTCACATTGTAGAGACAAACTAAGAGTAAATGTAATTGTTTTTCATGATCGTGGTAGCCTGACAAACATAAGTAACTAGATTGTTTCATCCAACACCGTCATTGGACTGATAACAGACAATACATGGTCATTGGGCTGATCAACAGACAACACATGGTCATTGGACTGATCAACAGACAATACATGGTCATTGGACTGATCAACAGACAATACATGGGCATTGGGCTGATCAACAGACAACACATGGGCATTGGACTGATCAACAGACAATACACGGTCAGTGGACTGATCTACAGACAATACATGGTCATTGGCCTGATCAACAGACAATACACGGACATTGGACTGATCTACAGACAATACATGGTCATTGGCCTGATCAACAGACAATACACGGACATTGTACTGATCAACAGACAATACACCGTCATTGGGCTGATCAACAGACGATACACGGTCATTGGACTGATCAACAGACAATACATGGTCATTGGGCTGATCAACAGACAACACATGGTCATTGGACTGATCAACAGACAATACACGGTCATTGGACTGATAAAAAGACAATACATGGTCAGTGTACTGATCAACAGAGAATACATGGTCATTGTACTGATAAACAGACAATACACGGGCATTGGACTGATCAATAGACAATACATGGTCAGTGTACTGATCAACAGAGAATACATGGTCATTGGGCTCATCAACAGACAACACAAGGTCATGTATTGTCTGTTTATCAGTACAATGACCATGTATTGGGCTGATCAACCGACAATACATGGTCAGTGGGCTGATCAACAGACACTACACGGTCATTGGACTGATCAACAGACAATACACGGTCATTGGGCTGATCAACAGACAACACATGGTCATTTCACTGATAACAGACAATACATGGTCATTGGGCTGATCAACAGACAATACAAGGTCATTGTCTGATCAACAGACAATACATGGTCATTGGACTGATTAACAGACAATACATGGTCATTGGACTGATCAACAGACAATACACGGTCATTGGACTGATCAACAGACAATACCCGGTCATTGGGCTGATCAACAGACAACACATGGTCATTGGACTGATCAACAGACAATACATGGTCATTGAACTGATCAACAGACAATACAAGGTAATTGTCTGATCAACAGACAATACATGGTCATTTGACTGATTAACAGCCAATACATGGTTATTGGACTGATCAACAGACAATACAGGGTCATTGGACTGTTGAACAGACAATACATGATCATTGGACTGATCAACAGACAATACAGGTTCATTGGACTGATCTACAGACAATACATGGTCATTGGACTGATCAACAGACAATACAGGTTCATTGGACTGATCAACAGACAATACATGGTCATTTCACTGATAACAGACAATACACGGTCATTGGACTGATCAACAGACAATACATGGTCATTGGACCGATCAACAGACAATACATGGTCATTGGACCGACCAACAGACAATACATGGTCATTGGACTGATCAACAGGCAATACATGGTCATTGGACTGATCAACAGGCAATACATGGTCATTGGACTGATCAACAGTCAATACAGGGTCATTGGACTGTTGAACAGACAGTACATGGTCATTGGACTGATCAACAGACAAAACACGGACATTGTACTGAGCAACAGACAATACACGGTCATTGGTCTGATTATCAGACAATACACGGTCATTGGACTGATCAACAGCCAATACACGGTCATTGGACTGATCAACAGACAATACAGGGGCATTGGACTGATCAACAGACAATACATGGTCATTGAACTGATCAACAGACAATACATGGTCATTGAACTGATCAACAGACAATACACGGTCATTGAACTGATCAACAGACAATACAAGGTCATTGTCTGATCAACAGCCAATACATGGTCATTTGACTGATTAACAGCCAATACATGGTTATTGGACTGATCAACAGACAATACAGGGTCATTGGACTGATGAACAGACAATACATGGTCATTGGATTGATCAACAGACAATACATGGTCATTGGACCGATCAACAGACAATACATGGTCATTGGACCGATCAACAGACAATACATGGTCATTGGACTAATCAACAGACAAGAGATGGTCATGGGACTGATCAACAGACAATACACGGTCCTTGGACTGATCAACAGACAATACACGGTCATTGGTCTGATTAACAGACAATACACGGACATTGTACTGAGCGACAGACAATACACGGTCATTAGACAATACAGGGTCATTGGACTGATCAACAGACAATACACCGTCATTGGACTGATCAACAGACAATACACCGTCATTGGACTGATCAACAGACAATACACCGTCATTGGACTGATCAACAGACAATACACCGTCATTGGACTGATCAACAGACAATACACGAACAGACAATACACGGTCATTGGACTGATCAATGATCAACAGACAATACATGGTCATTTGACTGATTAACAGACAATACACGGTCATTGGACTGATCAACAGACAACAGACAATACATGGTCATTGGGCTGATCAACAGACAATACACGGACATTGTACTGAGCGACAGACAATACACGGTCATTAGACAATACATGGTCATTGGACTGATCAACAGCCAAGAGATGGTCATTGGACTGATCAACAGACAAGAGATGGGCATTGGGCTGATCAACAGACAATACATGGTCATTGGACTAATCAACAGACAAGAGATGGTCATGGGACTGATCAACAGACAATACACGGTCATTTCACTGATAACAGACAATACACGGTCATTAGACTGATCAACAGACAATACATGGTCATTGAACTGATCAACAGACAATACATGGTCATTGGACCGATCAACGAGTTAGTAAGTGAGCTGGACTGAGGCCTTTATACAAGGTCATTGTCTGATCAACAGACAATACATGGTCATTGGACCGATCAACAGACAATACATGGTCATTGGACTAATCAACAGACAATACACGGACAGTTTACTGATCAACAGACAATACACGGTCATTGGTCTGATTAACAGACAATACACGGACATTGTACTGAGCGACAGACAATACACGGTCATTAGACAATACATGGTCATTGGACTGATCAACAGACAAGAGATGGTCATTGGACTGATCAACAGACAAGAGATGGTCATTGGACTGATCAAAAGACAATACATGGTCATTGGACTGATCAACAGGCAATACATGGTCATTGGACTGATCAACAGCCAAGAGATGGTCATTGGACTGATCAACAGACAAGAGAGGGTCATTGGACTGATCAACAGACAATACAGGGTCATTGGACTGATCAACAGACAAGAGATGGTCATTGGACTGATAAACAGACAATACACGGTCATTGGACTGATCCACAGACAATACATGGTCATTGGACTGATCTACAGACAATACATGGCCATTGGACTGATCAACAGACAATACACGGGCATTGGACTGATCAACAGACAATACATGGTCATTGGACTGATCAACGAGTTAGTAAGTGAGCTGGACTGAGGCCTTTGTTTTGTGTGTTTTTAAGTTGTTGTTTTTTATTAGGATTTTTTTCATTTCATCTTTAAAATATATCTTAATGGGTTTTTTTTCTCGGAAAATTTCCTAATAATATCAAATGGTTTTAGATTTTTACAAAATTATAGGAAAAAGAAAAAGGTGTTATTTTCGGTTAGTTCCGGTAACTTACTGTAACATTTTGTGTCTTCCCTTAGATACTTTTTGATTATTTTCAGGGAAGTAATTTTAAGTCAAAATCACTTTTCTAATAAATCTTTATCAAAATGATTTTTTTATTCACCTACCCTAATTTTTCAGACATGTAACAGGAAATAGACATGTCTTTTAGACATTTTTCTGTTCATGTATCGATATATCAACTATAATGAATATTAAACAACTGTTAATTAAAGTTTGTTACACAGATGTTTACAAAATGTAATTAACCGGTAAATGTAAGGTAACACAGGTACAGTTATTTTATACCTTGTAGTATTGAAATGTAACAAGAATGACTGATACATTTTGATTTATATTTACAATTGTATAACCTTTAAATAGACATATATAGGTCTAATATAAATCTAATACAATCTAAATAAAACTTTTACATTGTAGTACTGCTGTGTCTTTGTTGGTTTTAGATATATTTATATATCTGGAAATTTGATAATAGGATTGCTTCTGCGTGTGGAATTTTTGTGTTCTGAGTGGGTTGTGAAACCGGTTAAAGTTTGTTAACCGATTACTCGAACAATCATCCGATCGAGTAACCAGTTAATCGGTCAGTTTGGAAATAAAATGATAAACAACGACAAAACGTTACTTTAGTATATGTTTAGCAAATATTCTATTTAAAAGTTAAAACGTATTTACACCAAATACAAATATGTATATAGTAATTAGCATGGTAGTTTACTCGCGTCTTTCAAGCTTAACGCAGGATGTAGTTACATGTAACCTCGGTAAGTATATTTCATGGGCAGCAAATGTCGGTACAATGGTTAGATTCAATTACAACTTTAGAACAAAATTTGATCGACAAACGTTTGAATACATGCTTGCTCCTTCAAGTGTGTACCCTGCAGATTATATTTACATCTCGCATGCAATTACATGTGGTGCTGGCGGCATTTCATTGTCAATCTTTATAATAGAGAACAAAAACAACACTAACACGTCAGTACGTCAGCCTGTACTCTGCTTTATTACAAAACTATCTTATCCTGGTCGTATCTATAGATAAATTGTAGGTCTAAGCTAACATGTCCGACTATTCGGTTATTGATCTTGGTAACCGACTAAATGACAACCCTAATTCTGAGGGTGTTTTTTTATTTTA